TTTTTTTAAAAAAAAAATCAAATGATAATTAATCTTATAAGTATTAATCTGCTGAGACATGCATTGGCAATTGGCATAGCTATGTACATCAAAGAATGATCGGTTGAACATCTTTCATTAAAAATGATATTATATACATAAAAGATAAAATTATTTTTTTAATCAATATATATCAATTTTAAATCTAATCAGTGAAATCCCTGACTTCATTCCGACATCGACATATAACATGTATTTTTTCTCAAATCACCACAAGAATGTCAGCACCGGCAAGAAATACATACATCCAAAGAGAGCAAACGAATATGAAACTTTTATATACTTCTTTCTTATTAGTTTGGATTTTAAGTATTGTCGTTTTCTACTCAAATTTGAGAACTTTTAAAAATAAATCACTAATTTATTGTACTACAACTTGTGTTTAAAAAAACAAAAAAAAATTGGGAGCAGAGAAAGAACAAATGAAGGAGGAATTATGTTCATCAAACGTTCACCAACAAAATAAAATGCAGATAACTAATCAACTAAGCTATAAAATTTAGGAAAAATTCTTATGGCCAGAAACTTTTCCCAGAATGATATTTTACCTATATTATTTTACTTTTTAAAATATTTTTATCCTTTTAACTTTAATACGTTTTAATTAAAAAATAAAAAAAAATCAGTTTATTTTAAAATGAAAAAAATATCATAAATTTTTTAAATTTCTGGCAAAATTCTAATCAAATTTGCTGGTCATTTAGCATTGTTGTTGAATTATAATCTATAGAGTTAGTTAAAGTATACCAACTAACCCAAACACCATTATTATATATTAATAAAAATAAAAATGGCAAATCGAACTATCTTACTTTATCATTTAAAAGAAGAAAACTATTTTACTTTATTCTTTATTAGTTGAAGCTAACGTACGTGAAGTGACAACATAAATAATGGGCAAAAGGAGTCTCCATTTAAATTAGGTAACTAATTTTATCAAAACCTTTCCGTTTTTGTCACAATCACAAGAATCAGACATCACAAATGACTTCGTGCAATTTTACAATTAATTAAGAAAGCTTTCACGTGTTATTTCCTATATAGTCTTTTGGGTCAATTTGGTTGAAAACAAGTTATTTTAAAATTAGTTATTTCAATATAAGTTATCTTTCTATGCATATAAGATAATTTCTCTCATCACTAAGATATAAATGATGAATAAAGAATTCAAGAATCATCAAATACCTCTAACTAAACGCAAATAAAATACTCTACCCCTTACCGCTTTAGCTTTTGGAAAAGTTAAGATAGTATTAATAAAGCAAATTAAAAACAAGACACAATGAATTTGGCTAACATCTGCAAAAAACTAAGAATTTATTCATATTCCATGTTTATATTAACTTAATATAAAAAAAATATTCTACTTACTAATTGATCATAATTAAGTTATAAAAAAATAGTGGAAAATGTGTCACGTATTATTTAATAATTACTGTATATAAATAGGTTGGCGCGTGAAGGAGTGTATGTTTACGGTTAGGAGGGGGGAGTTGTTAGGTTAAAATAGGTGACATGCACGACATTTGAAGAGTCGAAGAAATGGTCCGTGAAACTAACGCGTCTTTTCTTTAATAAAAGGAAGAGGGAACAACGTTGTAAGTCAGTCCCACGTGTTGCTATTTAATTTGTGGACCCACTGTTGAGTATTTTTGCTTATTATGGGCCAGGCCAGGCCAGTCCACAATTTAAAGAGATCTTGGACCAGTTGGGCTCTTAGATGTAGTACCAACCTAAGAGCCCTTGGACCAGTTTGAGGATCTTTGGTGGGACGTTTTTTGAACATGAATCGGTTGATATTTGAAAAAGGTCAAGTAATAAAATAAATATTTGAAAATTAAGTTGTGCGTTTGAATATGAAAATATAATTGAAGTTTCATGAGTGAAAACTAAAATAATCTATTTTTTAAATGTTGAATTTTATATTTCGAGTTTGAAGTGAGGCAATCTTATAAACAAATACTACTACTTATTTGAAATAAGATCTATGGGAAAATGGATATAGAAAAAATTTGAAGTTGTGTGTTTGAATATGAAAACATAATTGAAGTTTAAGGAGTAAAAAAACAGTTTTTCAGATTTTGAATTTTATATATCAAGTTTAAAGTTAAAATAATGAGAGAATATTATAAACAAATACTACTACTTATTTGAAATAAAATAATAATAAGATCTTTAGGCAAACGGATATAGTGCATATAGGATTTGATTTGATATTATGATTTGATCCCTTCATCAAGTGAGTAGTTATTATAATATATATTTTTCATTAGATGTCTGATACTCATATTAGAGATCGATTAAATTTGGATCGTGTCGGAAAGTCTCAATTTTGGGAGTACAAAAGCGACTCGATATCGAAAGAACTCGAACATGAAATCTTTAATAATGAAGGAGTACATACCATTACATTGCAATTCTTCTTGGTGGTCTCATTATAAATATTTGGTGATTGGTTAACGTGCAGGGAGTGAGTGTTGATGTCCTTATAAGAAATTCATGTGCGGTACAGTGGTAGTTGCTCAAATTTATAAATATTTCATTGGCGATTTGGTCCAAAGTCAGAACAAGATGGAAGAAGAAATAAATGTATAGGAAGGACAAAAACAACAAAGTAGAATTTGCTTCTTTTTTCTAAACTGAATAAAAGTAGTGATGGTAACACCTGTCTAGCTGGTCGGAAAATCACACATTTTCTACTCAAACACTGATTCAACATTTTATCCTATCATACGTTAACGGTTTATTTATCTTTTGGTTGAATTCATCTTTTATTTTTGTCCTTAGTAATCAAACTTATAAATAGCCATGCATATTCTTTAAGAATGCAGGACATAACAAGAATATTATGATCCACAAATATAAATTTATATCCCGCATATTTGTTTTTATTTTTACCTTAAGAATAAAATTTAAGAACTAGCACAACTTAGAAACAAAAGTGCAAATAACCCTACAATATCTATTAGATGGTGATTTTACTCTAAGGTTCTGTCTTTTATTGGACTCTTGTCGTAAAATCAGTAACTTTCTCGAGTTGCAGTATTGTGTCATGATCCGCCATTGAAAGAATCGTGAGTAGGTTATCAAGTGTTGCACGGAGCATTAAAAAGAAGTCTTTAAGTGTTGGGACTATATATGCAGTGGCAGAGGCACATAGGTGAGCCTGACCAATGAACATGTTTTACCGAAAAATAATAATATTCATATTGTGTTTATTGGCGAAATATTACTGTTATAAATTTGCATACGCTTGGTAAAATTTCGTGCGCTATCGCTAGAGCTATATATGTACGTCCCTAGCAGCTCGATCTATTGTAACACGTGTATTGCTCGTGAATTAAAATTAAAATGAATCTTAAACTTAACTCATTATCAACTTCAAAAAATCATTCTTTAGATGAAAACTGTATAGAGAGATTATAGCTCATACCTCCAACAAGATGGTACATGGTGTGTGAATAATATAATATGAATGCTCAGTATCAAATTATTTAAAAATATAAAAGGTGAATCTAACTTTAATATCATATTGAAAAAAATTAACATCAAGATAATTTAACTTCAAAAGTTTAGCTCAATAATCAAAAGTACACTCATACAATCACCCAATATGTAATTCGTTGATGCAATAATATGAGGTGTTAATTAGTTTAATTAGGAGGGAAAACAAATTATCGAATGTGTGAGTGTGACTCTGACTTGTTCTTCAATCATTTGATCTGACATAAGAGTAGTACACAATTGGATATTAGGAGTACTGTGATTAATGTGTACACACAACAACTGTTTATGATCTCACAATTCCATGGGAAAAAATCTAGCAAAAAAGAACAAGACCCTCTTTTACTTTCTTCTGATCATGACAAAGTGTCTACTAATGTTAACCTTTTTAATGAGGGCATGAAATGTTAAATTTAAATTGTGGGTTAAAAGTTGATAATTTAATTTGTATTTAACTTAAAGTCTTGCCTCCTAATGTCAGTACTGCTATGTCCTACAACTTTTGTTAACACCAGTAATTAAGGGTGTGGCAATTTCTAGCGTAATAAAGCAGTAAGGTAAGGTCCCCCATTGATTGAGTTGCATGGAAATGCGTGTTTGAAAATAAAGAGACAAATCAATACTAGTATATTTTATTTTATTTTTTACAAAATTGGTGGTAAAGGTAATGGAAGAAAAATCGCATTGGTGAAAAATCAAATTTTGATGGATCAGTTAACTAACTGAGCTACTATGATTCTCTCTAAACAAACATGAATAGTATCGAGTTTTAAAAAAGGAAAAAAGAAATCTCACTTTACTGTAAACTTGATGACCTAGCTACTTTCCTCCGTTTGACTGTCGGCACCCCTTTAATAACAAATATACGTTTACATCAAATCTATATGTGAGAAATATATACATTTTATTTACTTAGTGCCAACGTCGGGCTATGATAAAATTTCGGATGGGTACCAAGAATTGTGGTATAGTGGTAAATACTCGGTCATCCTTAACCAAAGGTCTTTCGAATCCCCCTGGGTTGTTTTGTCTTATTTTTCTTTAAATCGTTTTTATTTTCTTAAACTATGTGTCGAGCAAAAATCAGACAAACAAATTAAAACGAGGAAAGTAATAATTCAAGAAATTCAACAGGCTCGATGCAAAAACCTTAAAGGTTGAATTCTTACCACATTTAAATCCTAAATCCGCCTCTATCACCCCCACCTCCTCCAGCGTTCCCTTCTTTTTTGGCTTTTGGACATTAACGAACTTTAACTTTTCCCATATTATATATTCAACTTAAGTCCAAGAGAAGTCTTTCATAAAAGAGCATTCGAGCAACATAAAAAATGCCTATATATTCTTCTGTTATCATGTCTATAAAGTATAAATTACTCCAAATTACTTAACGAAGTAATCTGCGGCTAGTTAACAAATGGGCATTGCAGGTCATATATCCAATTAGTACTAAAAAACAGAAAGTTATATATGGGTGGTATGAAGGCTTTCTTGGGTGCTCTTGTTTTACTTAGTTTACTGTGGCTCATTTTGTATGGTATTTTAGTCAATCAGGAAACTAAAATAATCACTGCTACGACGATCGATCGTTTAGATTTTTGGAAGATAACACAAACTGAAAGGTATGATCTTCAAAAGAGCCTTAATTATGTGAGCAAAAGAATTCAAATCAATGCCATACCAAACAGGTAAACATGTTGCGATCTCCCTTATTTTCCAAGTTTTGTAATCTCATATATTATAGACAATTGCATGTAGTAATCTTTTCGATGATCTGATAGTGTAGAAAAATGCACAGTTACATTTAGATGACTTAAAAGTGTAACATAGCGAGTGTATATAATTAGTCAAATTCTTTTATGTATATACTTGGTTATTCAGGAAAGCAGGGAAAGGAACTAGGGCTGCCACCAAAAATGTAAGTGCTAGAGCAATCAAACATGTAGATGTTTGGAAGATAATAGAAGCTGAGAAGCAATATCTTCAAAGAAATCCAAATTTCAATTATGTGAGCAAAAGAAGAGTGCCTACTGGACCAAATGCCATTCACAACAGGTTTATTTATAGCTACATATACTATACCATCTTTTTTATTTTCAAGAAAACAAACTTTATAGTTAATAAAGTTGATGTTACTTGGTTTTCAGGAAAGTAGGGGAGTATAGAGAGCCACCCAATCGAGCTTGAGCTTAGGAAGACACTTGAAAGTACCATATTTACAACATACATTGCAGTGAAGACGAGTACAATTTTCTTAAATATTTTGAATTATTAACTAGTACATATACTTTTTATGTTTGTTTCATATTTCTGATGTATCGATGTTCGAAATCACACTGCACTACATGAATGGAATTCTAAGCAATGAGATTAAAATGAAAGTAGATTGGCAAGCAAAACTTTTCAAGACCGATGAAAGATGAAAGAAGGATGTGGTTTGAATGTAAAAGCTTTTCACTTTTTTCCTTCTTCTTTATTACTATGTTAGGTAGTCAGTCATATTTAATCTATGATTGCGACACTGTAAAAGATTTACAGAAATATTAATTACTTTAGGGGAGTCTTTCTTGAATGATTAATTATGTAGGAACTTTTGACGGTTCAAAGGAGAAAGCTTTTTGCTTTCTGGTTTGAATGAAATTAATTTTTCTTCAAGACAAAAGTAACTTTATAAAGCAAAGCTCCTGCACGAGACAAAAGTTTACTTTTTTAGCCATGAATGATGCCCATTAAACTGCAATTATTAGATTTTATCCTCGCTTAACCCAATGTTTAAATTTTCGGTGGCATTCTAGATGTCCAAAAAGTTTGCCACAATGTTCAAAAGGTAGAATTCTCAGTCTCTGAAAGATCAATCACAGAAGAAGGTAACAAACTAGAGACTCTTAGAGAAATCAGAAGCAAAACTCAACAATGAGAAGGCAGAACCCAGGTGCTACACTAAATTAGGTGTTACCTGAGGCTGCACGACTCTCATATAAGCAATTGCACATGCATGATCATTATGATTCCAGTTGAACTTGTTTGGATACCAAACGACCCCTAAGAGTCCATAATCCACATTTCAAATTCACAAGGTCAAATTTAATAACCTAATTAGTTGTCCCTTTTCTGCTCTCTCGTAAACTGAGTGGAAAAACACGTTTAATGGAATAAGTTTCTATGTATAAAATTCAATGATAGTGAGGGTGTCATTTGGTCAAGAAATTTAATGAAAGCTAAGGCTGAAGGGTATTTTGTGAGACGTGTGATTTGTGTTTGTGGAAAGTCATTACCCAGGCCATCAGTCTAACAAAAGAAAGCTTCTCTACCTTGAAAATCAATATGGAGTATGGACATGGGATGTCCAATGACCAAGTCAATCCTATTCTAGATATCTTCTTATAGATGCTGCTTACCTAGATGTGGTGCAAGTTAATTGTCCCTTGAAAAGCCGAAATGAAGGTGTCAAGACGAAAAGACCAGTAATTCTGAAAGTGACTGCAGTTTCCTCATAAGCTTATTCCTCAGCAGATCGATGCTTTTACCGACTAACAACATATGTCACATTCATATATGCTTTTAAGTTGGACATATTTTGGATAGTTAAACATGAAGAAATGACAAATATAAACATCAATAGAGAATACAAAACTCGACCTTCATAAAACTTGGCTTGTAAAATGGAAGAACAAGGAATATTAAATCATTTCAACAAATACATAATGACAAAGTGACCATATAATGAAACATTCAAACAGAACGAAATGGGATCATCTATAATGAATATATTACACATTCCAAACAAGGATGTTGAAAATTTTCAAGAGAAAAGCTATATGATATTGTTAATAAACATACACACAAAACACATTTATGTGTCAAAGATTGGTTGAATTTTTTTTCTCAAATCAAACCAATCAGATGTCAGATCTTTTAGTCAGTTTGATCCGATATTTTGGTATACAGAACTAGTTGTAATCAACAAACAAATAAAAAAGGGCATTCATTCAACATTAATAAGCAAACGTCCCCATTGGCTTCCAAACAAGAGCTAGACAGGCAGTAAATAGTAATATAGACCAGTTTCCAGTAAATGAGACGTCCAGTTGAGAATCCTTTGAATACATAACATCTAATGCTATAGGCAATGGGTAATCACAAACATGAACAATAATTATCAGTTGCTTCCTATACTACAAATATCAAGCAAGCAAATACTTAAGAATGATTTGTGCATTTTGCAAATATAATACAGAAATATTTAAAGGGTGTACTTCTGAGCCAATCAAAACAGTGCCATGCCACTTACACCAATAGGAACAGAAAACTTACAACAGGATGCATCATGTTCATTTGGAGTGGAACATTTAGTAATAATTTCGCAATTCCGGCTTCAAACAGGGCTTCTAGTAGCACCTTCTTTGCCAAATAGTAACGGGAATTCGTCATACTGTTCGGAGAAACCCTGTTTTTCAGCCATGCTCTGAAGTGCTTCATAAACCTGATACATAGACCACCTATCATTGGGCCGAGAAACCACAGAATTACAAGCAACTTTTAGGAATTGCACAATCTCTTCATCATGCCCCTTCCCACGCATGTTTTGGTCAATTGCATCTTTAATGCGACCTGAAGCAGAGAGCTGATTCACCCAGTCTACCAAATTACCCTTGAATCCCTCTTCACCAGCAGTAACTTCAAGAGGTTTTTGCCCAGTAGCCAACTCCAAAAGCACTACCCCAAAACTATAAGCATCCCCTTTCAGTGAAGGCACCATTGTGCTAGAGTACTCTGGAGCTACATAGCCAAATTCACCCAACTCCCCATTCACATAACTAGACTCTTTTGCATCTGATGTCATCAACCTTGCCAGCCCAAAATCCATTACTCTAGCATCAAAGTCTTCATCGAGGAAAATAACATTAGAACATATGTTTTGGTGCAAGATAGGTGGGTGGACACCATGATGTAACCAAGCAAGGCCCCTAGCAGCACCGAAACCAATTCTAAACCGAGTAGGCCAATCCAGTTCACTTGCATTCCCATTCAAGAATGAGTGCAAAGTACCATTTGACAGGTGTTTATAAACCAAAAGCTTCTCCTCTTCCACAACACAAAACCCCAACAGTGGCACCAAATTAGGATGCCTAAGTTGTCCTAGCCTATACATCTCATCACGAAAGTGCTTCTCGCTCAGTTTGCAAGTGTTAAGCCGCTTAATGGCAAGTGCAGAACCATCACGTAACACAGCATTATAAGTAGTACCCATTCTAGTTGAGTTGATAACATTGTCCGTCCTGAAACCATTTGTGGCAATCAACAAATCAGCTAATTTAACCTTGACGAGCGGTTTCTGGAACAGCATAACCTGAGTGAGCTTGTGAGCCCTCAGCTTATCAGCCCAACTATCAGAGTCGTCTCTCCCAACTCCATACCCTCTCTTCCTCTTTCCAGACTTGGTAAAAAACCAATACCACGCACCAAAAGCCAACAACATAGAAGCAGCAGCACCAAAGACTCCTGCTGCAATAATAATAGCTAAGCTTTTCTTACTTAGTCCTCCACATTTCCCCAAAGGTCCACCACAGAGACTATTTCCTTCAAAATTAAAGTTAGAAGAATCGAAAGCTGCCGGGATTCTACCGGAGAGTTGATTATTTGCCACAGAAAAACTTTTAAGCCTACCTAAACTAGAAAATTCAGGGGGAATATTTCCAGTAAGCTTGTTATCACTGAGCGATAATTTATTCAAAAAGGTGCATTTAGCAAGTTCAGCAGGGATAGGGCCGGAGTAATCGTTACCGGACAAGTCTAGGGTTACCAAAAAAGGTAGCCAAGTACAAATTTGAGAAGGAATTGGACCAGAAAAGCGATTACCAGAGAGATCAAGGGTTGTCAAGCTGGCACAATACTGTACAGCCTCCGTAACCTTCCCTCCGAGGTTCATAGTCATAAGAATGAGGTGGTTGATGCGATTTTCGTTGTCATTCCAGCAATCAACACCCGTAAACTTACAGATAGCTCCGATAGTAGTATTTTTTAAGTTCCATGAATTCAGATTCCCAGCTGGATCTTCCAAAGACTTCTTTAAACCTTCTAAACACTTGAGATCATCTTCAACTACAGCAGCATCAAGGCGCGGAAGAACAAGAGAAATCAGAATCAACACAAGATAACAGAGAAATCTGAAACGAGCCATCGTTAGCTGAAGTTTAGGGATCCAACAGCAGTTTTGGGTAATTGGCACAAGGTGTTTGATAATATGCGCAAGAGAAATAGGTAGGAAATAGCAAGGAGAAGGAAGATGAAGACTGGTGAGGCATTTGACTTGACAAATGAAAACCCAGTCTGTTATTTTACAAGTATGAGTGGAGCCTTTAGAAGCTAGCTACTAAGGAATTATTTTAATGTATAAAAACAAATACAAAATGCCAATGACTTAAACTATATTTGAATATACAAAAAAGTTGGCTAAATCAAGCAACTTTTGACAAATCTTTTGAAAGCATTGATGTTTCAATGTGATATTATTAAACCATGCTTATCTTATATACTACTAAAATTTATACTTTTTTCATTTCAATTTATTTGTGTTACTTTCTTTTTAGTTGATTTAATAACATATACAAACCACAACATTGGAAAATATTTTGATATATTTTACATATATATTTAAAGATCATAAAATTTAAATGTTTTATTTACTTTTAAATTTTTTGTGTTAAATTAAAATGAAAAGACTATTTATATTGCTGAATCAAATATTCCTTTTATACCATACCTATGGCTGCGCCTTGAATACCCAATTAATTGATTATTCGTTTCACTAAAAGAATTTGTTTTTTCTACAAAATCTACTTTGGAATATCGATTATAACTCTTTATAGGTTATTGGATTTATACATAACTTACAATATGGTATGAAATGATCATTGGATTAAAATTCTAGGTAGTTTTTTTTTTATATTTAACTAAAATAGAGTTATTAGAGAGATTAACAAATAACAAGTAAAATAGTAGTTATGATACACACAAATTAATTTGAACACCATTATTATTTATTAAAAAAGATCATGTATTTTTTATTGGATTAATTTTTTCATTTTGTTCAAATATAAAGAATTTGTCTGCTTTTAAATTTTATCTTTACTTTTGTATCTTTTAAACTTGTTTTGAATTTTAAAATATCGATTCGATAGTCTATCCCACAAAAACAAAGGTAATACCTGTGTAAAATTACACTAAATTATTATTTCTGATTTAAATTCTGATAAAGAGTTTCCTGAACAATATTTTCATGTATACGACTTGATCAAGCATCATATTTCAACCTTTATTTAGTAAGATGAGTTAGTTAGTTATTGAGAGTTAGCCAATTATAGTCTAATCAGTACTACTAATATCTTTGAGTTATAATAGAAATTGATTTTCAAAATCTAAAAAGGTAATTTGTCTTATAAAACATAGTTCAAACACAATTATTACTATTAAAAATATAAACATGAAAATATTTGTAAAATTTTGGAATTCAAATTGAACATTTAAGAATTTGAAAAAAAGAACAAAAAGGTATTTTAACTTGCTCACTACAAATTACTAGAAAAAAAATTAAAACAACTTCAATTTGTATTTATGACCAAACACAATTTAAATTTTTGAAATATAATTTTTCACTCTAAAAATAAATAATAAATTCAAATTTCATAATAAAAAATGATGAAACGTTGATTAAAACTTTTAACGATAAGTCAAGTTAATACGAAGCCTAGTGGTTTTGGTTCATGATGGCTACTAGTGGTCTAATTCCATATGGCCATGCTGCTAAAATAGGTGAAAAAGGAGGGGCCAAACTGTACTGAATCTTCATTCAGGTCCAAATTTATGTACTGTAATATTCCCCCACCTAATGTCTGCATTATCTTTTTTTAAAAAAATAATTCTGGTGTGCGTGTTTGACCTACTTTCATAATTTAGATCGGATATGGAGATTAATTTATGGGAGTAAAAATAATTAAATATTAAAAATAATAATTAAAAAACATATTGCATGTTTAGTTTGACTATTTTATTGGAGCGCACCTAATTTTCAACTATATCTTATTTTCACCTAATTTATGTTATTAGATATTTTATTGATTCTTGTTCAAACAAGAACAATTGATTTACATATCTCATTAACAATAGAATTTAGTGATCGACATGAGTCGTGGACTCGTGGTGTAGTGGTAAAATTGTTTCATCTTTGGAAGCGTCACCCCTAAATGGGTCCTGTAGTTCGCGATCCGGATTTAGTCGGGGATCTAATGTGGGCTCCAAACACCGAGTGGAAAACTAAAAAAAAAAAAAAAACTATAGAATTTAGTGAGCGGATCCAATTATTCCAGTTCATATGGTATCAATTCATATTTGGTTACCTGAAGCTCATGCATGTGGGCAGGAATTGCTTTAAAATATAAAAAAAAACTACAGATTTTTAAGATTTCCAATACCATGTTTTCCGAAGCTACACTTTATTCAACTCCTTTCATTTATATTTTCGGCCTTACGATTGCTATAATATATACTACCTCGATCACTTTAAAACATATCAATTTTAACTATCAAAAAGTAAAATATGATGAACTTTTCGAGACATAATGAGTATAGTATTTCTGGGTTTTTTTTACTGGTACAAGTAACTTATATCATTTTAAGATGTAGTGAATTCATAATTCTATCGAAGCTATATAAATTATAATACTATGTAGATTACATTTAAAACGTTAAAAGCTTCTTATTAAGTCTCTAATTTAAATGTATTATACTTTTTCCACTTTTTGGGATAAGTTTCAAGTTTTAAAGAAGGGGTAAGTTATATATATATAAAAAAAAAAAATTGTTACTTTTTAATTTGTTTTTTCTTGTTTTCTTTGTGATTATTCTCGCCATTGGTATTAACATTCTTACTTCATTTATATTCAAAGAATGATTATGATCATATATTAAATAAAGTGTTCATTACGATAAACTGATAAACATGTCATGAGGCAACAAAAAGTTGTTTATTTATCCGTTTAAAACATCAAATACAAGTAAGTTTTTACTCATAAACTCAATAGGACTATAGGAGAGTGCTACAAAATGGGGTTGCAAGATGGGTATAAGCACACAAATATTTGTTATTTGTATTTATTCTTAAAAAAAAAAAAAAAAAAAATATAGCATGCAACCTCGAGTTTCATGGGAAAAAATAATATAATTTTGAAATATGCAAAATTACATCTGAATATAAAGGAATATCTATAACAAAAGCCTGAGCATTATTCAAGTACTTCTAATGAAATACTTGAAAAAAAAATATATATCAGACAATATATGAAGGCCGACAATTTAAGACAGTAAACGCTAATGAGACACCGCTAAATTCACTATTTTCCCATTGAATTTCTTAGCGAAAAATATTATTTCCACGTATATATTTTAATTGAATTGTTGAGAAAAATAATAATAATATTTTTATTTAGAAAAATTTAAAAGTTTTTCCATTTTCAGTGAGAAACTGTTAAATCATTTTTCCAGTAAACTGGTTTAGAGAAAAAATAAATGAAAAATCATGTTTTATAACAAAAAAAATTCATTGATTCGTAGTGGAAAAAAATATTTTATTTCTAGCACAGTAAAACCTCTATAAATTAATATAGGTGGGACCATGAAATTTTATTATTTTATAGAGATATTATTTAATTGATAAATTCATATTTATTAATTTAAAGAATGGTTTGAGATTTAATGAATGTTAATTTTGATTATATCAAAATCATTGTATCTTACTAATTTATGTATCATATTTATTGATTTCACATAAAAAAAAATGTTATACATAAAGTATAACAAAACATCAAAATCATTGTATCTTACTAATTTATGTATCATATTTATTGAATTGTCACTATCGTACAAACAAAAGAGCATGGATGACAAATGTGCTTTTTGATGAATATATTCGTTGGTTTGACCACAAAATGCATGGTAGACGAGTTTTGCTTATGGTAGATTATTGTCCATCCCATAATAGAAATATTGAAGGACTAAAAAATGTTGAATTGTTTTTCTTGCCACCCAACAGGACATCCAAAATTCAACCTTGTGATACTGGGATAATAAGTTCGTTCAAGATGTATTATCGTAAAAGATTTTATCGTAGGATATTAGAAGGCTATGAAGTGGGACAAACTGATCCAACAAAGATTAATGTTTTGGATGCTATCAATTTCGCAATTCCTGCTTGGAGAACAAATGTTATGCAAGAGACACTAGAAAATTATTTTCGACACTGTGAAATTCGTTCGGGGGATGCAATCTCAGAGAATTTGAATGAACCCACTTATGAAAACGTCATTCATGAACTTGAGGTCATGATTAATGATATCGGTTACCACAATAAAATGGATGTCAATAACATGTTAGATTATCCGGGTGAAAGTGATACATGTTCAGAGATCCAGAGCTTAGAAGAAATTGTGGATACCATCGGAAAAAGTGATGTTGATGATGATACTATATCTTTCGAACCAGTTACGCGTAAGGAAACACTTATCGGATCTAGAATTCTTCACAATTTTATAGTGTAGTTAGAAAAGACAACACCAGAGCTCTTGGATGCAATAAGAAAAGTTAGAGATAAGCTTCAACTAGATTTAAATTCTAAGAAAAAAACAGAACACAATAGAATCATATTTCACTAAATTGTCTTAGATATATTCGTACTTTTAAAGAATTATTAATTTATGATATTAATGGGACCATATATTTATATATGGGTCTTCTGGAAATATATTATTTCATTATCTTATCGAAATTGATGATTTTTTCCATTGGCCCAAGTCGGGACGGAAGGAAAAGAGATTATTAATTTATCGAGTATTAGTTTATAGAGGTTTTATTGTAGTGAGATAACGCCGCATTTGGTAGCTAGTAAAGAGACAACTTATTCATATTTTAAATTGTTACGACATTTGATTTGCAATTTAGAAACATGCATACAAATGTACAAGTTAGGAGGAATTGTGCATTTTTTAAATGTGAAGTATAGAAGATGAAATAACTAGTACCCACGTAACTAATATCCGTATGATTAAAACTTGCATAGATAATATCTACATAATTCAAACCAACTACCAAATGATTCTTATAAGCGTCCAGACTAACAAGTGTAGGATTTCTCCCGAACTCTTTTCGTCGAAAAATTACATTACATAAGTTCAATTTTATTTTTTATGTATATATAATAAGTATTGACTCTCCTTGATTTATTTGTGTGTTTACCTCTTTATCTCTCGACCCCCTTAATAAAAATTATAACTCTGCTAAAGACGATAAAGTGTTAAATAATTCTTCATCAATAATTAAAACTTTCATGTTTGAATTTTATGTATGGGATCACTTATGTTAGAAAAACATTTACGTCCGATATGAAATTTTCCAATGTGAATTAAAATTTAATCTAGTCTCAATATGTATACTAAATACATGTCAGATTTGATATTTCATTATTGGCGATCAAAATTGCAACTTGTTAGAAGAATTATCGTGTAAAGAAATTATGTATATTATTTTTAAAATCTCTTATAGCAAGAAAAATAAAAAGGAAAAATAGTACTCTCTCTGTCCATTTTATATGATTTAATTTATTTTTTTAGTCAGTTCCAAAGAATGACATATTGATATATTAAGTAAAAATTTAAGTTTAAAATATCAATTTTAAAATATGTATTACTTATTCTAGATCATAATTTATTTTTCTTTTTTTCTTTTTTTTTCTTTTAGTTCTATATCAAATCAAATTAACTCATATAAAATGAAACGAAGAAGTAGCGGTTTTGCACTACTTATAACTTTTGAAGGGGGAGGAGGATTTGAGAGTTGTAATTCAAAATTTGAAAATTTTCAAAAGCATTACGCGTTAGATGGCCCCACTTTCTCATATTATGCGCGCTTTTGGACTTTGTACCATATACCAACCCGTAACTGATTTTTATTTTTTTTGTGAGAATCGCAAGCGTCGATTCGCTTCATACCAAATCACCCATATTTGCCTTTTCACTTCACTGCTAACCGCCATGGATGAGCTACAGAAGCATATTTAACATTTTTCATCACTAGATGTGAGATACATTTCGATCCCCTTTGTTATTAATTTTTTTGTAACTATTTGTAATTTGATCGGTATCAGTTTGGATTATCATAGAAAAATGGAGGCTGTGAAGAAAGCATACGCGGGGATAATTTTGAACATGGCAAAGGAGGCGGCAGCTCGTGTAATGGCATCGGAGAAAAAAGCTCTTAAGTTTCAGCAGGATCTGCATTCTACGAAAGAGGAAGCCCTTCGTATGCTGCTTCGTTTGAAATTAATCATTGATGCTAAGGTAGTATCCAACTTGTGAATTTTTATATTAAGCTGACTAATTGTTTGATTGATTGAATTTTGTTTGCTTTGAAGATCGTCATATAGTGTATCTTCATTTGTATTGAATTTAACTTTTGTTTTTTATGCAACTATACATTAAATGACTATGTTATGAAAAACCTTACTAGTAATTTCAGGAAACTAAATTCAATTACTGTGAAAAATCAACTTAATTTTTTCGCTCATTTGAGATATTCTAACTGCAGAAATTGGAAAAGTGAATTTAAGGTTTGATTTAGCTGTGCGATTGTAGTTAAATGTGGTGTGCTTGACTTGAGCAAAGGCTTTTATCGATAAACATTACAATTGTTTGCTTCTGTTAGGTTAGCTCGATCTATGGGTGAGTAATGGTATATATTTTTCTTTCCATCAGCTATAAGATTGATAGGCTTACTCGATCATATAGCACCCTTAAAAAGATATGACTTTTAGAAATTCTGTTGGAATGTAGTATTATACTGGACAGAACTCATAACAGATTAAGTGCTGCATCACAATGCTTGTTACATCGTATTAGAGTTTTAAGTTGCATGGAAACTAGGCTTGATTTTGAAAGAAAATCAGAGGAAGGTCGAAGTAAATGTTATAAAGACTTCATTGTGTCCAAGACAAGACTTTAAAGCTTATTCTTGTTCATAAATAATCCATTTTCTATAAGTGTTGAAGTTATACTGTTAAAAGTATCACAAATTAAAAATATGAGGTGCTAATAATGTAGCCGGGCATTGCTTCTTCCCTTCAGAAATTGGAGACTAGATCAGCATGGCAAGAGGTTCCCTTTTGGGATCTAAGTGAACCCCATTTTGGTGAAATAATTGTAGTACATACATTTCTGTCTATTGGTTTTGTATTCTGGGAAGTGATTTTACATGAATGATAAGATAGTATATCCTAGCAGGATGTTGATTCCCATATCTCACAGTTTAAAGAAACTGATATGTCTAACCTTTAATGCAGACTACTGAAGCTGAGAGTTTGTCTCAAAATCAACAAAGAAGAATTGATGAATTAGAAGCTCAGCTTAATGAAGCTGAAGGGCTGATAATTGATCTTAGAGCAGAATTGCATGATGTGCATGAACAGTTGAATGAAGCAAAAAATATGCCTCTCCATCACCTGAGACCACATGCAAAAGAGGATTTGGTTTGTCGCAACAGTATCATGGCCAAGTCAAATGTAAATAATTCAGAGTCGTTAAAATTCCCTACCGAATTGGGATCCAAGGTCTGCAAATCAGCAGACATGTCAGACACAGCATTGTGCAATTACTCAAAGGACAACCTTAATGAGCCAGAGATTTATAAAAATGGATGGTGTGCAATAGCGATGAGCTTAGCAGATGAGAGATTGCATTCTGGAGATGATCCAAGTTTTCCCATTAAAGTTACACAGGTCACTGAACCTAGTGGACGAGATGGTGAAGCACATATTGCACCATCATCTAAAGCTATGAAAGCAGAGAATTTAGTTGGCGAAGAACAGCTTAAGGGCCATGCCTCTATGCAGCGGCCCTATACATTCCTAGGAAAAAGGCGAAGAAAAGCTCGATATGGCAAAACCAAAAATAGCTTTTGCAAGGCTCGTTGTAATAAGCTGGTGTTTTCTCAACGACCATTGCCAGCAATTTCTCGTTGTTCTGCAAGATACTTGCACACAGACACTTTGTATGACAGTCCTAATAGTCCTTCCACCAATACTGAGAGAAATAATGTAGCAGGAAGTTCTTTTGTGTCAGGTAAAGAAGGGCCACAAAACAAGGGTCTAAACATTGCTGTTGCTCGTAGAAGCATTAGGAAAAGACGCGTCAAATACCTGGACGTTAGTTGCCCTCCATCATTGTCACATAGCTCCTTTTCTAATCAGCCAATGAGACCTGGACTGCAATTTCCATCTTTTCCTAATAGCAAGTCCAATGCAGCTGAATGCACTGTGAAATCGACGAAATTAGGAGGTGAAGGTGGTATTAAAGAGGGTACTAGTTTTCAAGCGGCATCCTTAGGTTTCACTGTAGAAAACATGATATGTAGAAAGTTTGCATGTGCAGATAATGATGCACACAAGGACGACACAGAATTGATAGATGTCTCAGTGATGGTAGAGGAGGGTGATGATCAACCGCTGCTCAACTTCGGCGTGTTACCAGTTGAATCTATCCTTGGAGATACCAAAGCATCTGAAGGAAGTAAGGAATCAAACCTTCAAGGTAACAATATGACGCCTCTCAAGTATACGTTCAGCAGGAAGCGTAAGAAAGATAACTTGTTGAACCCAAATGAGAACTCTTCTCCAGATTGCTCAGTGAAGAAAAAGTCTGTAGAGATAGAAAACATTGATCCAAGATTGCAGGATTCAGAAGCGTTGAAAGATTCACCTTTAAGAAGTAAACATTTGGTCCAGGTTGCCCATCAGGTTAGTTATATACAACTCAATAATTTATAGATTCCATATTATTTGCTCTATCATGAATGGCGCTTAAAGTTTATATTGTGTTCTGATGTCACAACTAAGATAAGTTGAGACTTCAACATCCCAAATCCCAATATCCGGAAATCCTCTTGGAGTAAGTTAACAGAGGCATGTGATTTTGGAAGTAGTAGTGCTTTTCTTGAATTTTACCATCTATTTCCAAGTAATTCTCAAATCATATTTACATAATACAAAATAATAGCAGTTACATAAAACTGTTGCATACTTGAGTTTCTCAAAGGAAGTTCTACGTTTGAAATGAAAGAACCAATTAGTTGAAATAGAGTCAGAATCTTCTCAGCTGTTGACAAAAGCATTTTTTGAACTGGTAGTTCAATTCTTACCCATATCTACATGATTGCGTTCATGTATTAAAACATAATCATGTCTGACATTTATGGCAATCTTGCAGCTTATCTCTCTGTCTGGAAGAAGCTGGTGGCATTAGTTTTGCAGTCCTATAGATGTTGAAGAACGTAAATTTATAAGGCTTTTTGAGGAATGTAATTCCATATTTATTCAATTTTCGGGTACATCAGCAATGGCTTAATATATAGTTGAAGAGTTGTTCTTTCCTATCTCTGGCGGATTATCGTGTAATTATCCTGGCAATATGATAGTTGAGCTGTTTTCTAAAAGTGCCATTATCTATTCTTTTCTTCTTTAAAGTGTGTTAATACAGCTAATTGTCTCTAAAGTGACATAATGGTTTCAACTTACTGAAGATGTATAAGCCAATTCGTCTTTAGTTGTAAGCTGTGCCCGTGACAAACTTCTTTTGGTACAAGCAAAGTGGTGAACCTAATGTTTGCTTGCTTGCTTTCCAGAAACATAATTTTACATAATCATGAGTAGTTTTTCTCGACAGAATTTTCTTCATTTTGGTGTTTTATTTGTGGAAGATGTTATATTCATGATTTACACTGGAGAGGAAGGTCAATTTTGTGAGTCATTTTGATGATATCAATCTGTCTACTGCCTTGACCATAACCATTCACCACCAGTTGAAATTTGAACAAATCAGAGAACATCCCCCACCCCAGTTTTTTAAAAAAGATATACTATATTTTATATTTATATTTACCTTGGTATAACTTTTCAAATGAAAATATCCTATGAAATGATTTATATGCTGATGTATATTACTCATTGAACTCTTTAGTAAATGGTAATTCACTTGCCAGTTTCGAAATCTCTTCATTTTCGGCGCAAAACAGTGAGTTTAAGGCAACAAGTTATTCAAAACATAGTTTGAGACTAATAGAGGATACAGCCATAGGGGAATGTGTAGTTTTTTTTCATAACCGTGGTGTTTAGGTTAGCATGTGCACACCTTGATTTATAGATGAGAAGCATTTACCTAACAATTTACCAAGATTTGAACCTTGCTGATTTTCATAATTTTTTTTTTTTTTTTTTGAGTTTCCTACTTCGATACTCGCATTCAAGCCTAACTGGATTCACGCCAAATAGGGCCTCATTCGTGCGGCAACACTTCTAGCTAGAATTTTTTCATATCCTGTGCTCGAACCTGAGACCTTTGGTTGAGGGAAAAACAACTCCATCTACTGCATAACATCGTATTTTCATGATTTACATTCTTAGGTGTTGGATCATGTATAGTTATAGTAATTGCTTTTTGTTCAATCCAAATTCCAATGGCGGGACCAACGTGTGATGTTTTGTTTCAAAGTTGGTAAGAAATAGAAGAAAAATTGAAATGAACAAAGTAAGATGGTTGACCTAAAGAAACAAAATATGTTTGGATAGTAATAGTGATGATGTGAACATATCGGACAGTAGTTGGGTCCCAATTGTGTTAAATGGTAAACATCAAAAGGACCTTGGCGTGCCTTTAGACTCCTCATGTCCAGTGACACATTCCATTCATCTCTCTTTTCACCATTGGATTCCCTTCTTATTCATTTTTTGAAAATTGATACACATTATCATTAATTAATTAATACTTGTCATTTTACCTTTGATAGTTCTACTTATCAATTTAAAAACTCACTTATCGAATGTATTGAAATATGAATTACTTGCTGATATGAAAGATTTCACAACAGAGTTGAAAAACAATCTTATGTTAGTTTTCCATTGAATGTCCGATATCTACATTAATTGGTCCCCAAAAATATCCGAATTCACACATTGCAGAATCCATTATGGAGATGGCACTCTCAATTGAATTTTCTTACGTTCATAGGGACTCAAACCTAAGTCCTCTGATTAAAAATGAATGGATCCCAACCATCACACGAATAGTCTATGTTGGTTCTAAAGTCAGATGAAAGGCGAAATCGATTAGATGAAAGTAAAATAAGACTGGTAATTACTGCACGGAATAGGTCTAACATAATAGAGGGGCAGGATTTGAAGTGGTGATTAGTACTATTAGAATGGATCAATAGAATAAGCATCAGCTTATAATTAGAATATATGGACTAATTATGTCACATTTTGAGTGTTTAGACAGTATTCAGTAGCATATGACAGACATCTTGTGTTACTATCATTTTTGGTGAAAAACAAGATGTATTCTTTCTAGGCAACTTCCTACAAATGTTGGACCTCAAATTTATACAAGAACGAGGAAATTCAATGTTTGGGTATGATTCCTAAGTATGAAATCGTCTTTGTTAAGAAACACTTTACCTTAATATAGAATTTCCTAATGCGATATCAAACTTAATTGGATTCAAATATACATATTGAACACCAAATGAAAAACAAACAAATAAAAAAAGAATCTGCTTTAATTTCTTGTATGCTTTTACTTCTTCATAGTTTAATGAAAATTCTGATTAAGAGTTTAAATTGTTGTGGTAACATGTTAATGGTAAAAGCCGGTGCACGCCTGAGATTTTTAAAAAGCCAAACAGTAAGAAACAATGAAGTACTTAATAAGAAAACAAAAAAGAGAGCTGAGTGCAGAGGTTTCTGTGATAGCAGAAGAGAATGTTTCCTTGTCCCTCAAAAAAACATCCTCTCTAGTCACATCATTTGATCATTAAACTATGACCCACAAATCCAGTGGCATTTCATGTAAATATACCCAAAATTCAAGTATTATTTTACCCATCTCTTCACTCTATAAAAATCCCCCTCTTTGTAACTCTCACTAATTCAAATAAAATAAAGAGCTTTTAACATTGTGTTTTTTTTTTTTTTTTGTCCAAAATAGAAAAGGAAAATAGAAATGGTGATGGTAGTAAAAATGGAGGAAAGAAAGAAAGAAGATAAATTACAAGCAGTATGGTTTGCAGCAGGAGTGGCTGCTTTAATGGCATGTTTAGAACGTGCAATTTTAGTTTCTTTTGTGGAACAATGGCGACTTATAGCATTTCTTGCTCTTAATCTCTTACTCTTAGCTATTCTTTTTACATCTACAAGTACTACTCCCACAACTCCAATTGTTGAAATCAGCAACAACACTACTACTACTGAATCCAAGATTGAGGTGAGAAATTGTTCGAATTGTATGACTATTTCATCTGAAAACGTTTGGACATGAATTAGATGATATATATTTAGAAAAAAAGTAGTATTTGAAAAAAAAAGTTGTTGATTCTTTTAGTAGGCCTTTGGACATGAATTCTTGTCTGATTTTTTTTTATATATAAATATAATCGTGTTGTCTGAGTCAATTTGTGTGCAACTCAATTAATTCTGATTTGTAATCATATAACTTTGTCCATCAAAATTTTGACATATGAGAAGAAATCATCAATTTTTATTTGTTTTGTCTTAGGTCGGATTTAAACTTGAAACTTCATAGTTCTCACATCACTTCTCTAACCAAAAGTGACTATTAGGTCACATTCTTGAGTGCAAACACATGAAATTATTATAATGGATGCATATTCTTATAATTTATTTATTAATTTTATCGTAAACAGGTAAAGGTGAGGAAAGAATGCAAGAAATATGTAGTGCCTTGTGTTGAAGATATATCAGAAGTAGCAATTACAAAGGATGTGAAAGAGGAATATCCAAAAATAACAGACAATAAGGAAAACAAAGAAGAACAATTATTAGATGAAGCTCAGCAAATTTCAATGGAGGAATTGAATGAAAGAGCAGAGGCATTTATAGCAATGTTCAGACAACATTTAATATCTGATGCAAAGGCTTATAGTTATAGCAAAAGCTGTAGAATTCGAACTTCAATTTCACTCAAAGGAGGTGACAAAAATTTTCCCAAACGTAGACCCATTTATTAAATTAGATCAACTATTCTAGTTGAGAGAACAAAAAAATCAAGGTGGTTCTTTTCATTCAAAAGCATTTTTACTTGTGTAATGCTAAAGATTTTTCTGAATAGAAAGACCTATCTTGATCTTTAATTACAAGTTACACTTTTTGTTCTATTTTTTTTAAACTATAGTTTTTGTAGGTTGTTCACGAGAGGCAAAATTCACAATTCAGAGGTAGTAAATTCATTATGAGTGTAATTTTATTATATGTGTGCACAAGGTGAATTCTGAATCTAGAAACAGTGAATTTGTAATGAGATTAATCTTGTTAAGAGTATATGTGTATACTTTAATAGGTTCAATTGAAACATAAAACCTAGCCTAAATTTGTATCTATATATTTACTGTCACACAATTTTGAAGCACTGTTTATCCTTTAACATATTTCAGTTACAACCTTGAAAACAAAAGCTGACATCTTTGAAACTTTTCTCTTCGAATGATCTATTATAGGATAGTGTGTCAATTTTGAACTAATAAAAAGTTAAAAGAGCAATAATTTAAGTTAGACAACTTTAAAATGTCATGATTAGTAGTGTCTTTTTACTTTACATGCTTCACCACAGCACACCTTTTTGCTTCAAGTAAAGCATGAGGCTAATTAATTAAGTATAAAATCTTTGCACCTATCATAGTCCCACATTGTGTGGCCTGCTGTAAAAACAGCACGCGCAATGCTAGTTTCTTGTTTATTCTCTAGACTACTCAATTCATCCAAACATTTTTATTGTTCTTCTCATGAATATTTTTGCATAAAGAACGCAGTGCGATCCTTTTCCTGACCCTGCTGCTTTATGCACCCGACTGCGATGCCATTTTTTGATACCTAGATTTAGTGGTAGAGTCGCTGGCCTTAAAAGAAAATATCTATTACGTTTGGAAAAGAGGGACAATGAAAATTGAGCCTTATACAACTTTTTGGAAGGCCTATTGGGCCCAAATTATAGTCTTTCTTATCTATTCTAGGAACAGTAATATTGGGCCTAAAGGTTACTCTTACTGAACCTCAATTATCAAAGTGTAGCTTAAGCACTATACCACCACAAAGTTGTGACACTTTTGTCATTAGTCTATCGACCAAAATGGTTTTGCATGTTATAGTTTGAAAGCTACTGCAAGTGGCAATAATAATAATAATAATAAAAGGTTAGATTTTTCATGGAATTTAAAAAGAAAAATAGACTTTCGAAATTTATAATTTTTGAATTTGTCATAACATTTGCATGGTAAGAGTAAAATGTGACTTTTATAGTTATATGCATCCAAATATAAAAATGTTTCATTATTCCTAAAACAAACTACTAAAAATTTAGTATCACATAAATTGAAATACACTAAATAATACTAGTAATTGTTTTTTGAGTAGATATATAATGAATTAGTCGGGTCCCAACTAGATTTCTGACAGCGAAGCATATATCCTAAATTTTGACTTACCAACGTGAACATCTCATCCTAGTTTGCATTAAATCATCAACTAAGGCCTTTTTATTATTATTATTATTATTATTGCCAACTAATTAAATATTGAAAAAGTCTATCCTTCTTGTTCCTTAAAGAATAAAATTTTAAAAATTCCCTCGAGGGAATCAAGGGGGGATGTGGGTTGACAAACATTTTAAAAGAGAGGTGGAATCAACAAGTACTTTTAAATTTCAAATAGGAAAACTCACATTTCCTTACCACTTCCGGACTATTCATATAAGTAATCCATTTGCACTTTTTTTATTTTAATAAATTTCAACTTATGTTGCTTGTACGCTAGTATGCTTTGAAAATGGGGACAAAGACAAGCAAGTATAAACTTTAATATTATTTACTCTCCTATTAATATAGCAGGGCGGTTGAAGGGTTATTAGACTCCGAATGTCATTGCCTTAGATCCGGCCTCATAAATATTATATTATTATATATAACATTTAATTTATATACGAATTATTAATAAGAGATTTTAAAGTTAATATTTTTTCAATTTGGTTGAGGTTGTACAAATGAGGGGTAAAGAACTTTAATTTTTTCTGTCTCATAATTAAGTATATTTAATTCCCTCTTCAATTTTAATTTTTCCTTGTATTCATTTCTTATTCATGTTTTTGACAATTTTCCTTTCTAAACTATTTCAACTCAATCTATCTGAATTTCTTTATGTCAATTGTTATACCAATTTTATAAAGTGAACAAGTTTAAGAGAGAACTCTTAGGATCCGATTGACCCCAAGAATACTTGAGAAAATTTTGAAAAGTGGTGTTGGGTCATATAGCTTGAGAAATATATTTGCCACGCATTTCAAGTTTTCAAGTACTAGAAAAAACTAGTATTTGAGAATTTTTTAAAATTCAAAAATTACCCCAATTTTTTATATTTTATAAAAAATACCTATTGTTTATTAATTCCAACTAATATTTGTTACTACTTTCTACCTCCTCCGAAAAAGTTTGATTTCTAATTTGAGTGACAAGATTGAGAAAAAAAAGAACAATTTGTGTTTAATGAGTTATAGTTATAATCGAATCAGTGACAAATTTGAGTATACGATTAATGTATTGTCTTACTTATGTTGTTATTTTGTATTGTTGATTGTTACAAATTTATGGGTATTTTAATAGTTTTTAAAACTTATGAGTAAATCATATTTTTCGAAATAGTCAAATATTCTTGGAAAAATTTGGAGCCAAATACATGGTGTAATTTCACCAAAAACTTGGCCTAAATATTATTTACCAAGAATAATTAAGAATTTGGGACAAAACGCTAGCTTAATAAGTATAATTTCAACTTTTAAGTCATCAATTTTATTCCACACGGTAAGAAGTATTCTGACGGTGAATGAAGAACCACTCCAGAGGTGTCCGCAAAAGCCGGTGTCAGTCCAATCAAAGCTATAATTAATTCTGGTAGAATGTCACAACCTAGGAAAGGTACAGATATTTATGTGTCGGAAGTCGACCTCATCCTCTTTAAATGTAAATCATACATTTTATTTAAGCAATTTAGGTCTTCTAATTCTCAATGGACCACTTTATTGTTCACGTCCCTGAGCCTAAGGTCATCTTAATATTCCACACACCATGTAGTAGTACTTAAACAAGTACTAAAAATCCTTGTTGCTGCACGGAACACTAACAAATGCCTTCAAATTTTCAACCATGGTTAGGTGGGCGGCTATTTAAGTTTGAAAAAAAAAAACCGAAGAATTTTTGTACACTCCATTGAGGCTGATAATTCTAACGGACTTGGAAAATAAATTGTTTACCTCAATCTGTTTAGGATCTAATTACTGTCACACTTTCTCTTGGACTGGGGATAATCTAAAATAGAGGATTGGTAACCAAGTAACATTTTATTATAAGAGGTGTAAACTTAGTATAAGTAAAAAAACATTAAATTATAAATTGTCCAAGAATATGTATAATCAGGTAGCTTAATATGTTGCAAGTCTACATTTATTCACTTGAATGCTGGAGCGATGTCTAACTCGAGGAAAATGGGTATTGGGCAAAGCCATAGCTAAGACGTACTCTTAATTATTAGTGTGATATTACTTGCTTCAACAAAGTCTACTCATATTTCCCCATATAATATTACACAATTAAGAAGTTTGCTTCTTCTTTTTTACCCTTTCCAAGTGCTCCCACATTTTTTTGCTTATTTATTTTAAATGTGAGACTTTGTTCGTGCCTGAAAGTGACTATTGCAACATTCAGACTCTTAAAATAAATAAATATATATATGTGTGTGTCAGATCCTCCAAAGCAGTGCATTTTTGGAACATCCGTTACAAATACGACAATATATTTGAAAAGTCCAAGCATACTTGGTAGCTGATTAAGACGTGATGAATTTTGAGGCTTGGTCTATGAAAAGTCAGCGATCACACAATAATGTATATGTGTACGGCTGTAAAGATGGCTTAGGTGGCGTGCTTGGGAATGAGTAATTAACTAATGCACGACTTAGACAGTTTGCTGAATTGATCTGGCCATGTGGTATGATAACTTTTAGTCACGGATAAAGAGTTACACACAAGATTTATATGAACTGTGCTCGTAAACAACCCCACAATCATAAAACTGATGGAAACTTGTGCGGCCAATAATTTATTGCTGGTTGAACAACTCAGTTAAAATAAATTAAGACCATTAAGGAAGTTTCTCAAATGTGCAATTCAACAACCTTTGACTTTTTCTTCTCTCTCTCTTTAAATCTTGGTATTATCGCATAAATTATGGGTTTGTCTCGTTCGTCCATTCCACAACATTTTCTATCAAGGCGACCAATATAATAATAGCTTTACCCAGAACCTAAAAGGCAGACATGTGGATATTCTTCAGCCATCCAACTTGACAAGAAAATATGTTGTCATCTCTTAGAGGAAACTGATAATCTTTGGAATGGACTTTATTTCAAATCATGGGTAACAAGGAAAGAAAATCAAGACGGAAAGTGTTTCGGTTGTGGTTTAGCAAGAGAAGAAGCAGAGCTGATGCATCCCATTTAAGCGAAATTTCAGGTTTATTTCGTTTCTTGGTAATCTGGCTTGCGTCGCGCCTCCAGTTTATTCGTTTATTTCATTTTTCTGTATTCAAATTTCTTTCTTATATTTTTTTGGTGTTCCTTTTTGATTGCTTTCCACAGATGACGACGGACAAGATGATGAGTGCATGAATGGTCTTTCTGTTAGGTCACTGGACAGAGGACCATGCATTCTAAACAATGAATTGAGGTGAGCATCAGTTGGAATATCATGTTATGGACCTCTAAAGCTTAACAGGATAATACTTATTTTGACGATCTTTTTGCTGTAGAATCTTTGTGGGTACGTGGAATGTTGCAGGAAGATCTCCTGTGGGAAGTCTAGCTGTAGATTTGGATGAGTGGCTGAATCTGAAAGAAGCAGCAGATATTTATGTTCTTGGGTATGTATAAATTCAAAGTATAACCTTCTTTTTTCATCATTGAGGACTTGGTCATTTAAGAAGAAACTTTTCCACTAGCAGCTTCCAGGAAATAGTCCCTCTAAAGCCTAAAACTGTAATTGGAGCAGAAGATCCAACAGAAGCTACTAA